TTTCTGTCCAGGAAAAGCAAAGCTGGGAGGCGCAGAAGAGGAGGAATGATCCGTGATATCAGTCTGTCCTGATAAAAGAAGAAACACAAACACACCTGAATCACAACATCTACAGGTAAGAAACTCTGAGATAATATAGTTACTGTTGGTTTAACTTCACATTGATTATGATCTGACTGATTTAGCCGTGGTTATATTACATTATACTCAGCTGATCACTGGTTAACTCGTGAATGTCTGGATTTTGCACATTTTGTCTGATGCTATCTGAGCTTTTTCAGTTTAATTATATACGGCTTCTTTAAAACATTATAGAGGAAATCAACTTATAAATAAACTTCATATCTAGTCATTGATGCAAGGTTTCCTTGTTTTAACTCAATTTCCCAATAAAACAAGTGTATCTTATATTTGAGTTATTATATAAGCAAAACAAGGAAATATAAGTAAAATTTTGTTCATTTTTATTTTTTTTTAACAGCAGTAATGTGCAGCATACCAGTACATTGTAAACAAAATTATAGTAATTTATAAAAAAAAAAAATCCTACAGTGAAAACATGTTTAACTGGTTAACAGTAAGTTCTCTTGCTATATGGAGAAAAATTTATAAATCTAACAGGACATTTCATGTACCTTTATAGTACTTTTTAACTAGCATATATCACTTTATCTGTGTTTAAGGTGGTTGTCAGTGTATTATAAAGGTAAAAACAGATTGTAATATTTAAGTAGGTGGGTATATTAACATTATATCTAGAGATGCACCGAATGTTCGGCAACCGCAATTATTTTGACGGAAATAGCAACAACAAAAAAAAAGGAATAAAAGGCTGGGTTAGGGTTAGGGTTAGGGTTAGAGTAGGCTAGGCTACCCTAACCCTAACCCTAACCCTTCCGGTGTTCGGCTGAATAAGCGAAAAGACCAAATATATTGTACCAAAAAATGACATTTTTAACAGCGTGAGAGGCCACACACACACACACACACACACTCACACACTCTCTCTCACACACACACACACACACACACACTCACTCGCTCTCTCTCTGTCACACACACACACACACACACACTCTTTCTCTCTCTCTCACACACACACACACACACACTGTTACATTTGGGCAATAAAGAAGGAAACACAGCTAAATAAAGAACTAAACCACAGAAGGGAGGTTTTCTGTCCAGGAAAAGCAAAGCTGGGAGGAGCAGAAGAGGAGGAATGATCCGTGATATCAGTCTGTCCTGATAAAAGAAGAAACACAAACACACCTGAATCACAACATCTACAGGTAAGAAACTCTGAGATAATATAGTTACTGTTGGTTTAACTTCACATTGATTATGATCTGACTGATTTAGCCGTGGTTATATTACATTATACTCAGCTGATCACTGGTTAACTCGTGAATGTCTGGATTTTGCACATTTTGTCTGATGCTATCTGAGCTTTTTCAGTTTAATTATATACGGCTTCTTTAAAACATTATAGAGGAAATCAACTTATAAATAAACTTCATATCTAGTCATTGATCCAAAGGTGACGGTGATAATAACTTCATAAAGGTTTCCTCACACTTAATTTCCCAATAAAACAAGTGTGTCCTAATTTGAGTTATTATATAGCAAAACAAGAAAATAAAAGTAAAATTTAGTATTTAAAAAATGCATTTACAGTAATGTACTTACAACAGCAGAGCAACACCAGATCTCACTGTCTGTGTGAGCTTGATTCTGGAGCTTTTAACAGCAGAAACATGCAGCATAAAACAATACACTGAAAAAATTATAATTGTTAATGGAAAAAGACTAAATATCCTACGGTAAATACCCGTTACTTGGTTAAGAGTAAGTTCCCTTAATATACAGTGAACAACTGTTATAAATTTAACAGGACATATCATGTCATTTTACAGTAATCACTTATTCATTTACAGTACAGTATATCACTTTATCTGTGTTTAAGGTGGTTGTCAGCGTATTATAAAGGCAAAAACCTGATTTTAGTACTTCAGCAGGTTGGTTATATCAGTTAATGAAATATGTACTTTTCCTGTAAATTTTACTTGAATCCGTAAAACCTGAAATATTGCTACTGTATTTTTTAATGGAAAAGTTCTGGTGAACGCAGCAGCTTTTACTGTAAGTTTACAGTTTTTTCTTCTTTTTTATCAGTGTATCAGCTTTAGGAGCTTCATGTGTGTATTTATAGCTGGTGTAGAATCTAATATGATAAAGCAGAAATGACATGATCTGATGTTCTGGATCTGGTCAGATGTTCTGCATCATTTCTTGAGACTGATTTCTGTTTTTCCCTCAGAAATGGAGAGAATCACATTCATGTCTCTTCTGCTCACAGGTGAGTGAGTGTTTACATGAGCTCTTTAAAACATTATAGAGGAAATCAACTTATAAATAAACTTCATATCCAGTGATTGATCCAAAGGTGACGGTGATAATAACTTCATAAAGGTTTCCTCACATTTAATTTCCCAATAAAACAAGTGTGTCCTAATTTGAGTTATTATATAGCAAAACAAGAAAATAAAAGTAAAATGTAGTATTTAAAAAATGCATTTACAGTAATGTACTTACAACAGCAGAGCAACACCAGATCTCACTGTCTGTGTGAGCTTGATTCTGGAGCTTTTAACAGCAGAAACATGCAGCATAAAACAATACACTGAAAAAATTATAGATAAATATCCTACGGTAAATACCCGTTACTTGGTTAAGAGTAAGTTCCCTTAATATACAGTGAACAACTGTTATAAATTTAACAGGACATATCATATCATTTTACAGTAATCACTTATTCATTTACAGTACAGTATATCACTTTATCTGTGTTTAAGGTGGTTGTCAGCGTATTATAAAGGCAAAAACCAGATTTTAGTACTTCAGCAGGTTGGTATATTAACATTATATCAGTTAATGAAATATGTACTTTTCCTGTAAATTTAACTTGAATCCGTAAAACCTGAAATATCCCTGCTGTATTTTTTAATGGAAAACTTCTGGTGAACGCAGCAGCTTTTACTGTAAGTTTTACAGGTTTTTCAGTGTATTTTCAGACTGAATCATAACACACATCGGCTTTAGGAGCTTCATGTGTGTATTTATTGCTGGTGTAGAATCTAATATGATAAAGCAGAAATGACATGATCTGATGTTCTGGATCTGGTCAGATGTTCTGCATCATTTCTTGAGACTGATTTCTGTTTTTCCCTCAGAAATGGAGAGAATCACATTCATGTCTCTTCTGCTCACAGGTGAGTGAGTGTTTACATGAGTGCTTGACTAGTTCTAGTGTTGATAGTTAGTGTTAGTGCTGTGCTGAAAGCAGGGCCGGCCCTGACCAATTTGGTGCCCTAGGCAAGATTTTAGCTGGTGCCTCTTGCATCGCAGCCAATTCCACCAGCAATCATTCACACAGAAACTGCATAGCTTTATGACATAAAAAAAAAAATACATATGAAATAAGACAGTTGCACAATAAATAAATAAATAAATCAACTAACATTAAAATTTAGGGATGCACCGATCTTAACTTTTCATATCAGAATCCAATCCTTTATTTAAGCAAAAGACAAGAAAGAATGAAAATATGAGTGCATGAAGAATATGGTTAGTCGCTTTATTAGCCTATATTTTGATCTAAATTAGACTGTGTAATCTGAAAACCTGAAGCAAAAGCAGAATGGTCTGACTTTAGCTTTGTGAAATTAGGCTACATAAAACATACCAAACAGCAGATGGGCTGAATTAAAATTCACTCTCTGCCAGCAGGTGGCGCTTAAGGAACAGCAGAGATGCATTGTTTCCTTGATTACCGCTGTAAACTCTAAATGCATTAGTTCCCCTCAGAGATACGTTCATACTTCGCGCATTGAACAGTGAGCTTGCTCTGCCTGCTAATGTTTTTTTTTTTCCTCTTTGCGTCTCTGGCCTCTGTTTAACGCCGTTTACAGACTCTGAAATAAAACAAAAAACCATCCAGTTCCGATATACGGCCGATGGTCGATCGGTGCATCTCTGCTCAAATTAAAATATTAAACTGCTTTTATTTTGGTGGTTTGCCAGCAAATAAAGAAATAAATGCACTGCATGTTTCAGAGTGAAGCGCTGCGTGTCATGGGTTGCACTCGAACACATTACCCGCTTCAATTTTATTTAGTTAAATCGCAACCTTCGCGACATTACTATGGCATTGAGCCATAATGCGATATCGATTATATTTCGATATATAGTGCACCCCAGATTAAAACAAAAAACAAACTTAACTCTGGCACCCCTGTGGATGGTCGGCGCCCCTAGCATTTGCTTATTTCGCCTATGCGACGGGCAGGCCCTGGATGAAAGTGTTCAAGTGTGTTTGAATGATTCTGTAATCGCGTGTGTTGTTGAGGAGATTCAGCTGCTACTGCATGTGAGCCAGTAATAAACCACAAAACATCATCAGTGTTTCCCACGAGTCCTCTAGACTGTGTGGCCTGTAGTTTCCTGACAAAATTAAAGTCCGAGTGTTTAACTCGTGCAAGTGAAGATACTAAGACATAACTATTGTAATTTTTATACTCTAAAATCAGTAAAACAAGTAATATTTTTATTGTACAGTGCAGCTCTATTACAACGGTAATATATTTCAGTCGCAGAGGTGATAATACACTTTAGAAATATTTGTAAAAGTTATATAATACAGTACTGCAGAGGTTTAACTTTCAAGTTCAGGCTGATGCAAAGAATGGTCACTGAAAAGGGGGTGAAGCTGTTAATTTTGCTCTGGAAATGCACTACATTCATGCATTTGTACTCAGTTTTCTTCCTCTAGATGTCCAGAGTCTCTCCAAATCCTGTGGGAAACACTGAACATATAAAAGCACCATTCAGAACTCTTTAGCAAACACATACTGAAACACAGTGTGGATGAGTCCTGAGATCTGTGTGAATGTGTCTCTCCTCAGCCGTGCTCAGTTCATCTGCAGGAGCTCCGCGTCAGTATCACTTTGTGAATCAGATGAAGAGCTGGACTGAAGCTCAGAGTTACTGCAGAGAGAAATACACAGATCTGGTCACTATCAATGACATACAAGAACAGAATGACATTGAACAGGCCATAAAGAGTAGCTCTGATCGTGTCTGGATTGGGCTGAAGAGCACAAATTCATGGATATGGTCTCTGAGTGACCCTGACTTCTACACGCATGAGACTCAGTATAGGAACTGGGGACCATCACAACCAAATGGAGATGGAGACTGTGTTTACATGGATTGTAAACGTGGGATTGTGAATGAGCATAAAGGACAGTGGCATGATTTAGACTGTGGTACAATAATGCATTTCATCTGTTATAATGGTGAGTTCAGCTGTAAGTGATCACTACACACAGAAATGTGCTCAAAACAATACTGAGTATTTTCATGACCAGTAATAATAAACAGTTTTTTTTAATGCATTAGCCATGTGTTTCTTTGTTTTTGGTAAATGAGAGCAGAAATAAGATTTTTTTCTCATTTTTAAAATTCCACTAGGAATATGATTCACTCTAAATCAATTTCAGACAAATGTCTTTCTGTTTTAAAGGCAGCAGTAAAGGATTCGTCTCCGGAACGGGGGAAAAGAACTGGACTGAAGCTCAGAAATACTGCAGAGAGTATCACACAGATCTGGCCAGCGTGAGGAATCAGAGTGAGAATGAACAGATTCAGAGCATCATAACAGATAAACAAGCCTGGATCGGTCTGCACAGACTCTGGGTTTGGTCAGATAACAGCACCGCCGCATTATATCAGTTAATGAAATATGTACTTTTCCTGTAAATTTTACTTGAATCCGTAAAACCTGAAATATTGCTACTGTATTTTTTAATGGAAAAGTTCTGGTGAACGCAGCAGCTTTTACTGTAAGTTTTACAGGTTTTTCAGTGTATTTTCAGACTGAATCATAACACACATCGGCTTTAGGAGCTTCATGTGTGTATTTATTGCTGGTGTAGAATCTAATATGATAAAGCAGAAATGACATGATCTGATGTTCTGGATCTGGTCAGATGTTCTGCATCATTTCTTGAGACTGATTTCTGTTTTTCCCTCAGAAATGGAGAGAATCACATTCATGTCTCTTCTGCTCACAGGTGAGTGAGTGTTTACATGAGTGCTTGACTAGTTCTAGTGTTGATAGTTAGTGTTAGTGCTGTGCTGAAAGCAGGGCCGGCCCTGACCAATTTGGTGCCCTAGGCAAGATTTTAGCTGGTGCCTCTTGCATCGCAGCCAATTCCACCAGCAATCATTCACACAGAAACTGCATAGCTTTATGACATAAAAAAAAAAATACATATGAAATAAGACAGTTGCACAATAAATAAATAAATAAATCAACTAACATTAAAATTTAGGGATGCACCGATCTTAACTTTTCATATCAGAATCCAATCCTTTATTTAAGCAAAAGACAAGAAAGAATGAAAATATGAGTGCATGAAGAATATGGTTAGTCGCTTTATTAGCCTATATTTTGATCTAAATTAGACTGTGTAATCTGAAAACCTGAAGCAAAAGCAGAATGGTCTGACTTTAGCTTTGTGAAATTAGGCTACATAAAACATACCAAACAGCAGATGGGCTGAATTAAAATTCACTCTCTGCCAGCAGGTGGCGCTTAAGGAACAGCAGAGATGCATTGTTTCCTTGATTACCGCTGTAAACTCTAAATGCATTAGTTCCCCTCAGAGATACGTTCATACTTCGCGCATTGAACAGTGAGCTTGCTCTGCCTGCTAATGTTTTTTTTTTCCTCTTTGCGTCTCTGGCCTCTGTTTAACGCCGTTTACAGACTCTGAAATAAAACAAAAAACCATCCAGTTCCGATATACGGCCGATGGTCGATCGGTGCATCTCTGCTCAAATTAAAATATTAAACTGCTTTTATTTTGGTGGTTTGCCAGCAAATAAATAAATAAATGTGCTGCATGTTTCAGAGTGAAGCGCTGCGTGTCATGGGTTGCACTCGAACACATTACCCGCTTCAATTTTATTTAGTTAAATCGCAACCTTCGCGACATTACTATGGCATTGAGCCATAATGCGATATCGATTATATTTCGATATATAGTGCACCCCAGATTAAAACAAAAAACAAACTTAACTCTGGCACCCCTGTGGATGGACGGCGCCCCTAGCATTTGCTTATTTCGCCTATGCGACGGGCAGGCCCAGGATGAAAGTGTTCAAGTGTGTTTGAATGATTCTGTAATCGCGTGTGTTGTTGAGGAGATTCAGCTGCTACTGCATGTGAGCCAGTAATAAACCACAAAACATCATCAGTGTTTCCCACGAGTCCTCTAGACTGTGTGGCCTGTAGTTTCCTGACAAAATTAAAGTCCGAGTGTTTAACTCGTGCAAGTGAAGATACTAAGACATAACTATTGTAATTTTTATACTCTAAAATCAGTAAAACAAGTAATATTTTTATTGTACAGTGCAGCTCTATTACAACGGTAATATATTTCAGTCGCAGAGGTGATAATACACTTTAGAAATATTTGTAAAAGTTATATAATACAGTACTGCAGAGGTTTAACTTTCAAGTTCAGGCTGATGCAAAGAATGGTCACTGAAAAGGGGGTGAAGCTGTTAATTTTGCTCTGGAAATGCACTACATTCATGCATTTGTACTCAGTTTTCTTCCTCTAGATGTCCAGAGTCTCTCCAAATCCTGTGGGAAACACTGAACATATAAAAGCACCATTCAGAACTCTTTAGCAAACACATACTGAAACACAGTGTGGATGAGTCCTGAGATCTGTGTGAATGTGTCTCTCCTCAGCCGTGCTCAGTTCATCTGCAGGAGCTCCGCGTCAGTATCACTTTGTGAATCAGATGAAGAGCTGGACTGAAGCTCAGAGTTACTGCAGAGAGAAATACACAGATCTGGTCACTATCAATGACATACAAGAACAGAATGACATTGAACAGGCCATAAAGAGTAGCTCTGATCGTGTCTGGATTGGGCTGAAGAGCACAAATTCATGGATATGGTCTCTGAGTGACCCTGACTTCTACACAGCACATGAGACTCAGTATAGGAACTGGGGACCATCACAACCAAATGGAGATGGAGACTGTGTTTACATGGATTGTGGAAATGGACAGAATTGTGGGAATGAGCATAAAGAAAAATGGCATGATGCAGACTGTAGTACAACAAGGCATTTCATCTGTTATAATGGTGAGTTCAGCTGTAAATGATCACAACACACAGAAATGTGCTCAAAACAATACTGAGAATTTTCATGACCAGTAATAATAAACAGTTTTTTTTTAATGCATTAGCCATGTGTTTCTTTGTTTTTGGTAAATGAGAGCAGAAATAAGATTTTTTTCTCATTTTT